CAATCGCAATTTATTGATGAAACTACTTTGGAACCGAAATCCAAGAAATCGAAACAATCCATTATTCTTACCAGAAAGAGTCGATTGGAATTATCGACTCTGGGAAAAGCTGCAATGAAAGGTAGAACATAATTTCAATTTCAATTGTTCATAAAGAGTCTCGTAACTTTAATGTCGAGAGATTGCACCTTCAGAATTTAATTTTATGTAAGTTCTGGTTTTCATTAAAATTAATTAGGGTAATAATCTTCAAAATTAATTAATGATAACAGAGAAAAATAGGGAATTTGCAACGAAATAGTTTTCTTGTCAGCTATTAACCTGATTGTTCTACTAATCTTCTCACGAAATGACTAGTTCATGGCATTCATGGCAATGAACGTTTGAATTTATATTAATCAATTGATTTGATTCGATCCACAGGCTCGATCGATCTCCAAACCGCATACTATTTACACGAGGACTTGAAATCTGCTCAACGTCACTTGATCTTAACGAATGATCTTCACGTTCTCTTCCTAGTCACTCCCTACGATGTAGCGAATCAGATAAAACCCGTGGGTTCAGTTTTCTATGAAGTAATCATGAGTTCTCCATCATCAGTCATGGACGTCTCCCGGGTCTTGGGGTTTACTGAAACTGTGATAATAAAATTACGAGAAGGAATAATGCCAAAGAATATATCGTCACGAGTTTTTCACAGATTTTACGTCACTCTGATGCTTCATGAGTTGCAAAAAGGCGCATCAATTTATCATGTAGCCGAGAAATATCATGTTACTCGAGGAATAACGCAGAATCTTCTGAGCTCTACAGCTGCGTTCGCCTCTTCAGTCGTTAGATTCTGTCAGGAAATTCCAGAATTCTGGGCTTTTATTGATTTCTTGAAATCTTTTAGTAAGAAAATCACTGCAGGTCCTGTTGAGGAGCTCGAGATACTCATGGAGCTTCCTGCTGTGAAAATTGGGAGAGCAAGACAATTGTATGATGCTGGGTTTAAAAATCTCCAGGCAATTGCTTCTACAAGCCCTACCATTCTACAGAAGCATTTGAAATATGCTTC